TTGGGGTTGGATCTGGAGAGGGGCTCAGGCTGGAGTTGTTTAGAACACAGCTTTGGAGATGCCTCCTACTCACTTAGGCCAGAATGGTGACTTGGAATCTAGAATCCATGACAGCAGGTGACCCACCTCCAGTCTCACTGGACTCCTGGGCCTTTAGGCCTTGTTTTTTTTTTTTTTCTTCTGGGACTGAGCACCACAGTACTGTACTAGGTCCTCCCCAGGGCAGCCAGGACACACAACACTGAAGATCTCTACCGTGTTCTTATTTTTCAACTCTTCCTCCAACTGGGGGAAGATGACACTTTGAGGCAGTGGCTTCGCAGTTCCAGGGCGTGAGAACTGAAGTTTCTTGTGGCTTCAGGGATGTAAGGGAGCCTGGCAGAGGAAGGGAGGGTCAGAGGCTGCTCTGAGAAGTAGGTTTGGGCTATGAATTTGGCAGGGGAGAGGGAAGAGATGGACAGCAGCTTCGTCTTTAGAAATCTGCCTCTTGCTTGGTAATCAACTTCCCAAAACCTCACCCGCGCCCTGGTGTGGAGAGAGAAAATAACAAAAGGGCTGGCAGACTCAGACTCCAACCCTGCCCCATTCTGACTTCGGAGTCTTATGTTCAGAGACCTTGCCCTGATTGGTCATTCATCCAGTGAGTTATCATCTGCTAAACAGAGGTCCCTGGGAGAGAGACTCCAATCTGTCCCTGTCCGGAGACCAGGCAGCCACTGGCAGGGACCTGGGTCCCTGCTCCCCTCTCTTTGCCCTTCTTCTAGGACCCCAACCTCACCCCAGCCCCACCTCCGCAGCTGCCCAGATGCCCAGCCTGTCCCCCTCTGCCTTCTCCACCCTGCCTACCCTTTGTCCCCACACTTGCTAGGGGTGGGGTCTGCAGGCCGGGACTGAATTTTAGATGAGGCAGATCCCGGATTCCGAAGGTGACCTGTGGCCACGGAGGAGCCAGCTCGGTGCTGCTCCTCCAGGATGGCCTGGGTCAGCACCGTCAGGCTGCCCTTGCCACCGCCTGGGAGAGGACAGCATCCCCACACTGATTCTTCTTCTCCCACCCTGGCGGTCTTTTTCTTCTACCAGTCCGCGCCATTGCTGAACCAGGTCTCCTCCGCCGCCCAGCCGCACACAGGGCCCAGATGGGCTCCTTGTGGATGTCTCCTCGTTCCCTCCCACCGCTGTGCTTTAGAGAGCTGAAGATTGGGGAGATAAACCCCAGGAGCCCTCTTCATTAGCACCCCCCACCCCAGCTTTGAGATCTTTCTCCATACTGGGGGAGATGGAGATTTGGGAGAGGTCCGGAACTTCATGCCGCTGCCACAGAGTTGAGCAGTAAAACTGGAAAGAAAGTGTAGAAACCCGAAAACCCAGACCACCAGGCCAGCAAGAAGCAGCTCACGGACCACAAGCCCCAGACTCTCAGCTCCCAGCTTGGGACAGGTTCCCTGGCCACCCGGAGGCTCAGGTCACAAATGCATTGTAAAAGTGCTAGCTCCTTTGGTCCTGTGGAATTTTTCGTTTGCTCTTCGATGGATTTTTTTTTTTGCAGGGGGGGAACTGCTGATCCTACCAAGGTCCAGAAGTGGGGGTGCACAGCAGTTCTTCTAGGCCTTAGGGTGCTCTGGTCCTCCACAGCAGGGTACCAAGGGGCGGGGGAGGGGAGCACCAGGGCCAGAGCTCTGGCTCTTGGAGAAAAGGAGACCTAGGAAGAGGGACGTTTTCCTGATGTTTATATTTATTATTATCAAGCCTTTGCTTTATTAGTTTACATGAGTTCATCTTTTCCTCAATTTTCTCTTTTCAATCTCTCGCACATAGATTCTCACGTGGGTGCGCAGAGGGTTCATCCAAGTTTCTCTCCCTGAATGCAGGAAGAAATTGTTCCTTTCCCTATCCGTAAATCGTAAATCACAGACTTTCCCCTACGCTTTTCTCAGTCCCCTCTGAAGCCCTCCTCCCGAAGCTCCCTGCCCAAGTCCCTGCCACCCGGCCTTTGTCTCTGGAAGTTGGAAAGGTCCCTAATCTGTAGCAACACTGCCAAGGGAACGGGCACCCTCAGAGCTGCCAGCTTTGCAGCCTTCCGCCCTCTGACCTCCCAGCCCCAATCAGGGCCGACCAACCTCCCTCAGAGAGAGGGAGGAAAAGGCAGGAAAGGAACCACATTGGGATCTGCTGCCTCCCGGGCAATCCACAGGGAGGGACAGGGACAGGGTCTCCCTCCTCCCTTGGGGAGGTGCACGCCCTCCAGTCCCTTTGTGTTCCTGTTTCCCACTTTCCTTTTCGCTCCCCCTCCACAACGCCCGCCACCTGGTGCGGCCCAAGGAGCCACCAGAACTGGTGGAGGACTGGAGGGCAGGGTCCCCTGCTGTCCCCATAGCACTTTTCCTGGGCCCCGGCCCTGGTGGGGCCACTTCAGGCGGCTTCTACCCACAGCCCCACGCCTGGCTGGGTGCCTCCTGGGCTCTCTTTATTCCTCCAGGGAGAGCAGTGCAGGCTGGATGGCCACCAGCTTCTCCTCCAACTTCACAGGGACCTTCTCTGGCCAGTGACAGAAGAACGGAGGCGGAAGGGGACTAAAGTGCTCCGCTGATTTTTTCACTTGGGGGAGAGAGAGTGAGATCCAAAGCTACCTCTCCCTGGAGCCTCTGGAAACCTCTTGGTCCAGTCCCTAACCCACCAGGCCCAGAGGACTTGGAGTCTAACCCTGTAGGTCTCCAGCCAGTGTGTGCTCCATGTACCCACGCAGCCTTAAGGAGTCTCCTTAGGAGGGTCCTGGTTCAAGCCCCAGCTCTTCCTCAGGCTTGGGCATGTTTTTTGCCTGGATGCTACTAACAAACAGAAAAATGGGTCCCACCTTCACCCCTACCTCTCCCCTTCTCCGGAGCCAGCTGTCCAGGCAGTAGGGCCCTCTCAGGCCACAAGCAGGCCCCAGAGCCCCAGCTGCTGCAGCCCACCTGGCCTGACTTGGCTGCTGGCCTAGGAAACCTGGGGCCGGAGGAGGCGGGGGACCACCCTCTTGCTATTCCCCAAGAGGAGGCTGAGAGTTGGGGTACAGGGGGTGTAGGACTCCTCACCTCGGCCAGACACAGCCGCCCTCCCTCCGCGGAAGGCCAAGACCATAGCTGGAAATGATCCCTCACCTTTGTTTCCCCCAGTCCCCTGCCTGTCCTAGTGCATCCAGATGGGAGAAGCCAAAAGCCAAGAAGTCTAACCAGGAAGTCATGGGGTGGTGGCTGACTGTCCAGGCGAAGTTAAGAGACCCAGCTCTCCAAGCTGCCTCTGGAGAGCAGAGCGACCGGCTGCCTGCTGTCCCCTAAGCCTGGAGTCAGCAGTTCCACAGCATTTCGGCGGAGGCTCCCGCTTGGGAAAGTGTCCAGCGCTTTTTTTTTTTTTTTTTTTGTCTTCCTCCTCTAAGAATGATTCTTCCCCACCCCCACTCCACCCAAATCTGCAGACACCTACATTCTTGGCTCCTGTCCCCCTCCCACAGGCCGCCTCCTTGCCTTTTCCTGCCCCGCTCACACACACCCTAAGGAAACTCTAGCTTTTGTAACCTTTCTCACTTGTGCCAAGAGTCATAAATCTTGCAGAGCAGAGAGAAACAAACAGGTTTGCCCTGAATGAATAGTAATAATAATCACAGCCATCCTGCATCCCTCCTTCTTTGGCTGGTGCCTTTGAAGCAAAACCATTCTGCCAGTTGAGCTCATCTTCTCAGAAGTCCAAATGTCCTGGTCTCCTCTTGGCCCCTTCTGCCCATCCGGAGGTGACGATCTTCACAGAAACTTCTCCGTGAAGTTCCTACAACCGCTCAGCAGCCGGCCTCCAGAGCTCCAGCTAAACTGCAGCGTCCCTCCTTTTGTCACCCTCTCCTCAACTCCACTGCCCCTGCAAGATGTTCTGGGCTTTTTAATCATCACTCACCGCTTGTTGTCTGTCCTCAAAAAGGGGGAGGGGGAGGGGAGGGTTTTTTAAAAAGGCGGCCTTCTCTGGCTCCCCTGGATGGGGATGGAGGTCTTGGGTGTGGGGCAGGGAGGGCAGAGGGTATGGAGGAGCGGGGTGCAGAGCCTGGGAATGAGTAGACTGAGCCGGGACGGTGGGAGACCCAGACACCAGCCACCGGTCCCGGAGGAGTGAAACTACTTAAAAAAAAAAAAGTCCTGGTTTGCCAACTGCGAATGAGCAGAGAGACACCCAGCACCCCGCCCCAGGCCTGCAGTCCCCCCGGGCCTCCGGAGGCCACTTCTCAAATTAGCATAATGATTTACTAGTGGGATGGGGGGGCTGTAACTCCGCGGGCGCGCCTCGCGTTTTCTCTCTTCCCAGATCTCAATTTTTAAAAATGTACTTGTTCTTTAAAA